GAAAACGAAAGAAAACATTTGTAAAAATAAAGGAGACAAAGTGCACGGTACCTGAGGAATAGCCTGCCACCGGAGAACAGGGCTCCTCCTTGAATCTGCAATTGAAAACAAATCCGAGATATAATGAAGGTTCCAAGGTGAAGGAAACTGCGGCGCACTGCATGCATTATACATACGCCATGTCCGAAATGAATGGCGCTGACGTCCGTGGCGATAAATATTGTTGCACTTCCATTAAACCCTCGCGATGTACCTCCGTACACATGCCACACAAATATTCCCAAAACTTACGATTACTCCAGCACACATTAACGATTATCGCGTCCATCCGTGTTTATAATACAGAACATACATACAGGTGAAATGTCACGGTTAAGCCCCAATATCCTACACAAATGAATTCGGCGAGTTGGCTAGTAACGCGGCTCATGTTTCATAGAAGTAGTTTCGTTACATAAACACGGCCACTAGGTTATTGGGGAGTCTGTTGGTACTTTCAAGGACGAGACCGGACTTTTTATTCCTCTTTTTTGTCCAACACAAGCAGACGAGGGCCGATCGTGGAGTTACCATTTGAATTGTAAAACAAATTGACAAAAATCACTTATGCATTGTCCGCTCCGACCGACGCCGGCGAGCGGGCTGCTATTATATTTGCAAATTTTCCCGAATCTAGGAATAAAGAAGTGAAAACACGAAAATCACTTGATGTATGTACAGCAATTATCCTGTAACCAATACATAAACTTGAATTGAGAATATCTTCCTTGTTCTAAATGCGTACCAGTCAAATGGAATCCTACAAATGTACCTACGCAGTGAGGATCTGAGTTCACAGTGGAACGATAAAATTAGTAATTAGGTAGCTACTAAGTACCTACTTGAACATCATTTCCAAGATTTTATTTTACCCGAAAAATGAGAAATTGTTCTCGCTCTGATTTCCGAACGATCTGTTACAGAAAACCAATCAGAGAGCAAATAAAATTTTTGACGAGTATTAATATTCCTTGACGTGATGTACTTAAAAACGTTGTTAGGTACATTAGTATAAAGATAGCCATTATTTTCAGTATTGACATAAAGTTTGTAACAGAACGACGCGTGTTACGGACAATCAAATGTATCTAGATGTATTCAGTATCATAAGTACCCACACATCTAGTAGATTTCCAAAGAAATTAAATTAGATACAAACCTAAATCCATAATGATATGGTAAACATAGTAGTTACAACTATTCGCTTAGTTTACAACGATCGAGTCACACGAGAGCTTCGTAAAGAATGTTCAAGAACAGCATTGATTTTCCTGCTACGGAAGTATCCGTGGATGCCGGCCGGTACGAATTTTCTTTTTTGTTATGAATATTTTATCTTTGTATCATAAAACTGAACCTATAATAATACTTTCAGTGCATGATATACCTAGGTGTCTGTTTGTTTGCGGAAGTATATTTAGGTCCACATAGCGACCGGCAGGTAGCTACGAGGCTGCTGAGCCTCAAGGACGCTCTGAAGGCCAATTTTACTGCCGCGGCCGTGCGTAGGTACAGCTGATACTATTGATTTTCTATTCGTTTCCGTTGCCTACAGTTTTATTACGAACAAATTAATACGTTTCCGTAAAATTTTAGTACAGGGAAGTAACTTCGATAACTATTACACCCATAGCTATAAGCAAGGCTATACTTACGTGTACAGGTCGTCTTCATCCGATATAGAAGAACTTGTGGCCTCGCTAAACACGGACCCGCTCATCTTTTAACTTAAATTGTTTGTTCCATTGTCAATTTACACAGTTTTTCGTTATAAACCTTAGACATCGGTCTAGAGAAAGTTTGTCTAGAACGTTTAGGTAGTTCACACTGATAATGTTCTCTCGATGAGGCATTTTATCAACTGTATTTTAGGTTGAACACGAAACAAGTCTGGTTCCACATTTGCTTGTAGGTATCTTACTTCGTCGAAATGTCTTTTGGCTTTTAAGGGAGGCCATAGTGTACACGACGCAACCTTGCACGCGGGGATGGTTGCGTCCATATTTTTAAACGTAGGTTGGTGATTTTGTATTTAATTGATAACATTTTTGAGGATTCACTGAAAGTTTGGAGAAATATATTGTGAAAAAGCCCCATTTGCGATTTACTAACCCATTTAAATGAAAAGTTATCGAAGCCATGAAAGTTAAGAAAGAACACAAACTACTTCATTTTGCTTCGCTTCGAGTACCACAGTAATTCGTCGGAAACCATGCAAACTCTTTTTAAAAGAATTTGGACAAAAATAACACACAAACACACTTCCCAACTAGCGCACCGTCTTGTACTTATGTATACTTGAAGGGTTCGACTATACCACGTGACAAAGTTGTGTCGATGTTCAGGGGTGCTAACGGCGCATGCTCCACTTTGACCTTGAGTATACTTCCTGGTTCACGGGCAGCCTTCTGTAGCTGTCACCTGGCTTCTAGGTCAATCCACCAAACATACTTATACAATACTATACCTTAATGATCCTCCACCGGCAGATGGTACCTAGGTATATCTACAGGGAAAACTAAAGCGGTTTTCCGTCAAAGTCCGGAAACACATTATAAAGTTGGTTGTTGTTAGGGGGCATAATTTGTATGCATCAATGTAACCTTGAATAGAACTGCGGCACAAACTCCATCTCAGTGTCTGTAAGTTCCTACGTGTGTGGAGGAAGTATATAAGGCGTAAGTCAAATACATAGAAGTGTAACAAAACGTTTGTAATGAAACTGCGGGCGCTTTACCTAAAACTGGCGTAACTTTAGATAATATCATAACTTTGTCAGCAAATGCAGGCATTAATTTATTCAAGTCCAAGTAGGTAGGTGCCTGAAATTCAATTTTCATCCGAAACCATTGTCATGCCACCTAATCAACTCGATTCGTGGAGCCTCTATTCTAATTTTACATTTTTAAGGTAATGTATTGAATGCACTAAAATTATAATTACCCTCTCGTGCCCATATTATCACACCACATAATCATAATTATGTCACATCGTTTGTCATAGAACTGTGGCAGACGCCCTTGTCGGGACACGTATTATTAAGAACAGTTGTCGTATTGTATGCTATCCATTGTAATTGGTGACAACAATGGCAGACGTCGACCTGCAGCTTCCAAGGCGACGGACCTACAAACGTACAAACCAGCGACCCTGTCACAGGAATTGTGCGTCGGACTAATTGGCTGCGCATTGAGCTATCATAATTACACAAGTGCCTAGCGTTTTGTGTGAGCGACCAGAGCGACACGTAAATACACATAGGTATTAGGTACGTGTATTGATGCGAGTGTGTTTGTGTACTGCCTGCTCTCGACACATCCATACTATTGTTTTATGGCTATACAGTGAGGGGGGAATATCGGGAGCTTATGTGAGCAGGTACAATGCAGAAAGCTCACAAAGCCCTACGTATTCAATCAAATGATGCTGTAGGTAGTGCTCCCCCGCCGCTATGGTGCGAGCTATGTGCAGTGGACCGCACTAATGGATTGTATTCACATAATCTTTGCTACGTTTGGCATCGACAAACTAGACTGGACATGGTCACTAATAATTCTGCCAAAGTTGAGCAAAGTTTGGAATATGTAAAAACGGGAGTAAAAGTATAAGTAAAACCTTCATATTAAGTTGAGAGAAGGTAATCTTATCCTTCGAAAAATTATTTAATTACAACAACCAAATTCAAAGCTGGTAAAATAAGCTCATAGCTGCATTACAGACAGTTCTTCCCTAATATTAATACAAACATCGTGGCTCTCGTGGGGAGGAAACGTCGCTTACAAAAGCTAGCTTTCAATTTATTTCAATCAAGGATTAACGCACACCACCATGCTTTTAATCTTGTGATGTTCAAAGGGATTGGTTGTTAGAGTGGTCTCTCCCCAATCACGGATCTATAGGTACCTACCTAGGTCTTGCCGTATTGCATTGGTAATTACATTTACAGAAGTACTCGACTAACTGAGCACCTATCAAGTTCAAGTCCATTTTAATTTGTATTCAAAGTTCTTTACTTTCTACAGAGTGTTTAATATTGTGTTTCGATTTATGTTTTATTAAAAAGTAACTAGAACTTCGTTTTAACTTGTTGGTAGTGATTTTTAATTTTGTAGGTATTGTAGGTACCTTTAAACCTAAATATCAACTTAATTGTAGGTAGGTATGTTGTGAACAGTAGGTACCTAATAAGAAGAAAGGTTGTTTCAATAGGTAATTAATCTTTTTTGTGTAACTATAAATATTATATGTAAGTTTAGTTCTGTGATAAATTAGTTAAGTAGTAAACAACACTATAATAATTATTCTCGCTACCTCCAACATTTCTATTCACGACATTCTTTTCCTATAGCGCCATCTTGTGGTAGGATAAGAAACCAAACAAATTGTCAAACAAAACTGACTTTACCTATAGACAACTATTTTATTCTTAGAATAATACTTCTTTGTTCTTTTTTAAGAATCAAATCAAACTAGTGTAGGTAGTATCGTTGGTTTAAACATAAACTATCATGTGAAAATGATGAACAAACAGTGTGTAGGTAACTATATAGCATTTATTTTACAACGTAATGTCTTTTGAAATGTGTGAATGTGGTATTATGTTTCTTAAGTTACTTCTTCCAATGTATACTATTAAAACTAAAAGAAATCCCAAACGCATTAATTTCGAGAAGTCAGAGAAGTTAACAAAAAAGCAAAAGGATTATCTGTGGCACTGGCATCTTACAAAATGTTGAAGATGTTCATTCATTGTAGTCATACGTTGTTTTTGTATTTCATTCGTTCAATCACTCATTCATTCTCAGTCAAACAAAACGTCAAAAATGCCTATACGTTCACGTTTCTAAATAATATTTATAAATATAAATTAAAACAGTGTTATTGCCTTATCTTACACTTGTAACAAGTGTTATTTTTTTTTTACTTTTTTCATATTATGATACGACGTTAAGTATTATCCAATGCAAGTGGAACGAAGACTAAACGTGTTGAGCCAGCTAGAGTATGAGGACGGCACAAACGGCAAAATAAAATTAATGCCCACTAAAATGATGGAAACACGATATTACGAGGGTTGTGGCCGAGAAGGACCTATACGGTGCATATTTCTCGGCGAATTCCACACCGTGGCAGGCCCTAAGATTTCATGTCAGGTATGACTCATTGTTTTTCTAAGGTCAAATTGCATTATTTTGTCATAATAATTTACTATGTTCCTAATACCGCGCGTACTCTGCGTGTGCAAGTTATGCACACGCATGCAACTCGTACATAGCGATCTGTGGAATATTGATCAAACAGTTGCGTACCTGCACCTGTACGTATGTAGTGCGTCTAGACGGCAGCGGGCGTGCATGTATGTGTGTGCTCCAACCCCCGTCTAGACGCGGGGTAGTACAAGTACACATGGAGCTGGGGGGGTGGCAGCGGCGGGCCCCCTTGCCTGCTAGTTGCCAGTTCAGAATGCTGTTAGACAGCAAGGAGGAAACATGTAGAGCTCCAATGTTTACTACTTGCTTCTAACAGTTTCCAGAAGACTACATCTCCAAAGAAGTGTTTGACTCAATCAGTGCATTCATAATACCCAAGCCTCAGATCCAGAGATGCTCCATGACTATGTAAGTAACTGTTTAAGTGATTTTTTATTTTATTTGGAGTTTGTTTCATTTATTTAAAGTTTATTTTATTTACTTTCACTATTTTACTTTTTTTAAAGTATATTTTACTTTTAATTTTTACCTTTTTATTTGCTGTTCTTATGTGATTTTGGTGTAAAGTTTTATAATAAATGAAATTCATAAGTAAAATAAATTCGAACACATTAAAAAAAATTAAAGTGCCCTTGGATCGGTTCCTTGGTGAAACTAGAAAATAATAATTGCATAGGAATTTATTAATTTATTGTATAATAAGTTTAAGTGTAATATTTGTTTCTAATATATTTTAAATTTTTCAGAAATGCCCTTGGGCATAAGATTGTGGGGTATCCCATACGAATAGACAATCCAAGATATGAACGTAACATCTACCTGTTCAATATCTGCTTCGTATGTGATAGCTGGTCCAAGACTGTCCAGTATGAACCAGTGGTCAAGAAGCTGGGGGAGCATCTGGTAAGTACCTAGTTAATAGATTAATATATTTTTCTTTACAGATTGTATAGACCTTCACTTCACAGCCTAGGAATTAATTTTATCTCTTATAAAGTTGTAATTATTTCTATCTCCACAAAAACAATTAAATGGTCTATATCCTAAAATTCTAAGTTACTTATTTTTTTTCTGTTACTGGCGGTATAAATTTTTCCCAAGAATAAAAAATTCTAATTCCATATTTAAAAAAAAAATCGATTATTTATTCGCTTACTTGTGTGGAGGCAATTTCCCGCCAGTATTACAACTTAGCGCGCGTAACAATTTCCCTTAGAAAATTTTATTCCATCATACCTACGTTCTCGTACTTTTGTAGGGCAAAATTTATCGTCTATTACATCAACTTACGTATAAAAATTAATTTATTTTACAAGGCTTCGATTTTTTCAGATATTAAAGTATTCCAACTTTTCGATTAATGTATAAGTCATTGTGAGGGAAAAACTGGGTTCGATACCTAGTTAAAAATTAGATTGAGAAGTTATTACTAATTATTTTCAACAAATAATTTTTTATCTTACTTCTTCCTGTTAGAAGGGTTCGATTCCCTCTTACGTGATAAGATTTTCAATGTCGATATTTGTAGTAGGTTCCAGCATTAATTGTTCCGGCATTACTTCGTCATAGACAGATTTATTTACGTGTCTTAAAAGGTTCCGACACCCGGTTTAAATTAATTAGGTAGTGTTCCTATGACAAGATTTTTACAATTATGTAGGAATGATATTTAACTCGGTTTAAGCTGGTTCGACATCGATCGACATTGACATCGGTCCCATTTAAAATACTGAGATTTTATTACATCGAAAATGTTGCCTATAATTAATTCGTTTAAAGTGTAATTCTCACAGTTTCACATCGAATATTATAACATTAAATTGTTTCCAACTAAGAAGTATCGAGTCCGCTACTTCTGTGACCGTGAACCACAAAGAAATAATTCTACGACAAAAGTTTATACAAGTTACAAGAGTTCAAAACTTTAACCGGTAGGACGCACGTATAGCTACCGCGCTCCGATGTTTTCTTAAAAACATTTCTATGGCCTTGCAAAGGTTTCCTTGAAGTTCGAAAAAAGTTTTATAATAATTCCACGTGTCTCATTATCCAGAGTACCTATGTAATATCCGCATTTCACCAATTGTAATGCCCATTGGTCGTTATAGACTGGGTAGTTTTATAGTATTTTTTTAAGCCTTAAATTCCTGTCATGATTATTCAAACAAATGTTTCCTGAATATTAAAAAAAATCGGAAACATTTATGTTAGAATTATGACAGAGTATGAAAATTAAACATTTTTAACTGTGTCCGTGAGGTAATGAAAAATACATACGCTAACAAGTATTTATTGATTAATAAAAAAAGAAACAAGAAAATCAACCATTAAACGCAATTCTAAAATAGTTAAAACGATTTAAACTTTATTTTGGAGCGCTCACTACATTACGTAAGATGATGCGACATTTTAAACTGTCAAACACCGCTAGGACACCGGTGACCGCTACCTATTGTTCTTTAATTGTGTCTGTAATGACGGTACTCAAAGGTTTAAATCGGTATATATTGTCGAAAAGTTTACAATTCTGTAAATAAGAAATAAAAATCGATATACCGTCGTAAACTTTACAGTGCCATGAAAAAGTTAAGACTAAAAACAGATTTATTTTACCAGACCATCACTAATATTGGTCAACCCCGATCGCTCTAAACTACTTAAAAAAAAACTTAAGAGTGGAGCACGCCCGGTATAAACCCTTCCCCGTCATTTAAAATTAGATAGAGAGGTAGTAGTAGCTTGTTAGTGTAGTGGAAATGCGGTCCAGGTTTCAATTAACGCTACGGGCAAAGTTTTACCGGCGCTTGAAATTTTTAATCCCTGGTACAGGCGGCTGCCGCATCAGTTAATCTCGAATAAAGTATAATAAAAGTTTTGGCGCAGCGGGCTTGGCGATCAGCGACCGCACAACTTGTTACGATATAACAATTGTTTGCATTAATCATACATTTTCAAGAAACATAGTTAAAGGTAAAAAACTTAAAGCAAGTAACAAAGTATTTAATGAAAAAGCGCCTGACCAGCGCAAATTATTTCTTAAAATTATCTTGATGAAAGAGGCTGTCGTTTAACAAAAACTTATATGAAATCAGCTCATTGGTTTACGAACTACTGATAAAAAATTCTAAGAAGATAAAATTTTGTAGCCCTAAAACTGCTGATCCAATATTCGTTTAAGATGTTAAAGTAATAGTTAAAAGCTTCAAACAGAGTTTTCAAATGAAAAAAGTCAATTCAAGTCGAAGTCGGTTTATCCGTTCAGGAGTTATTTGATTACACGGCTGACGCGCAACGTGTAGCGGGTTCGATTCCCGCACGGAACAAATCTTTGTGTGATCCACAGATTGTTGTTCCGGGTCTGAGTGTCATGTGTATATGAACTTGTATATTTGTAAACGCACCCACGACACAGGAGAAAATCCTAGTGTGGGGCAACTTTTTTTTTAACAAAAATGATATCACCCCTCTAACGTCGGGAGTTCAAATTCTATTCAACACACTTAGCTTTAGATAGACTTAGCAATATTTTTTAGCCAAGCACACAGACACTGTCTATGTTCTTTCATATGCCAGTCGCGAGTAAACCATTTTAGTCACGATCGAGTCCCAATAATAGAATGGTCTGTCCAAATCCGTCCAACTTCGGAAGCGATTTTTTTTTTCTTTTTTTCGGTGTAGAGCAACCACGCCACAAACACATTGCATAATATGCACATCGCATATCTGAAACACTATAATTTGTCAATCAACCAAGGAATTGAACTCGCTGTACATTATGCAGCAGCCTATAGTCAAATAGTATAAAGTCAAAGTCAAAGTCAAAGCGTTTATTGCAACTAAGTGTACAGATGATGGTTATAAAAATATTTACAGTGCTTAATACTTAGCGGCCTCTTACAGACATTGCAACATTTTTAGTTATGTAGGTATACATTCATTGTTATTAACATTGTAGGTAGATATTACAAATCATAAAGAAAAGAAAAAATAATAATAATTGTCAGGTAGGTATATGTCACATCATAGTAATAATCAATTCAATAGGTATAATTGCTGTCGAGTTTAGGATGTCAATAATAAAATTATACAATGTCAAAGTATTACAATGTTATATTATGTCCAGTAGGTATAATGAATCCGTCATACATTTCGTTTGTATAGGGCAGATCGACGGTTCCCACATGAAATGAAATTATTTTATTTTGGACTCTAAATATTCCGTCACTGAGTAGAAGCATTCTTTTATTAGGTATATCTTTAGTCGTTTTTGAAATACTAATAGTGATTTTTCAGATTTTAATCCATCTGGCAATTTATTATATATTTTTATAGCCATATAGTATGGACTATTACTTAACATTTTTATTTTTGATGGTGGCGCACATAATCTTTTTTTATGGCGCGTGTTGACGCTGTGTGTATCTTCTACTCGTGTGAATTTGTCGATATTTTTAAAAACAAAAATACATATATCAAGTATGTATATTGACGGGACGGTTAAGATTTCGTATTGTTTGAAGTATGGTTTGCAGCTTTGTGTACTATCTATTTGGGCTAGAATTCTTATACACTTCTTTTGCATTACAAATATTTCATGTACGTTTACACTATTTCCCCATAACATGGCTCCGTAGCGTAGCCATGAGTATGCATAAGCGTAGTAAGCAGCCATAGCTGTATGTGTGTCAGTGCTTTGTTTTATTTGAAAAAGAGCGTAAGTGAATTTAGATAATTTGTTTTTTATGTGTTCTATGTGTGACTTCCAATTTATGTGAGTGTCAATATTAATGCCGAGTAGGCTAAATGTATTAACTTCTTCTATTTTTATGTTATTGAATAGTATATAGTATATAGTATATATAGTGATCTGTTTTAAAAAAACATAATGAACTTATTGTTCAAAACAAATTACAATAGGTCGCCAGTGCGACTGCCGGGCAAGGGGTCTCGGGTTCGATTCCCGGGTCGGGCAAAGTATTACTGGGTTTTTAAAAATCTCAGTAGTAGCACGGAGTCTGGAACTGTGCCCGGTATATGGCAATAGGCTTCACCCCCTATTACATGGGACTTATAACATAAATAGTGAAAAAGTGGTTGTTACATTGTACAGTGGCATTAAGTGCCGAAATGTGCACCTCTGCCTACCCCTTCGGGGGTATAAAAGGCGTGATGTTACGTTATGTTATTCTTTAGAAAAAAAGAAATGCCAGCGCCACGACTGGAATGCATAACATATAAATAAATTTAAATTTTATGCATATTTTTTACTTATAAAAAGCATGTTAAAGAATTAGTGGTGGTTAAAAAAAACCAAAAATGTCATAATGGACAAGAGTCTCGAGTCTTTTATCCTATATCCGTGAGTCCAATCTCCAGCATTTGGAGTCCAACTACTGCAGGTCACTAGGCGGATATTGTCACGCAATTTAATTACTCTGAAGCGTACTCTATCATACACTCCTTGTCACTCCCTCCTTCGCATCACCAACCCCCTCTTACCGAATTGTGGTTTTTGTGCGACAAGTATACATTGTGTATGACATCTAGTGACTACATGTCTCATTCTCATAAGTCGTCTACAATTAACAGACTGACGGATAACGGATAGACGGATCTTTAGATTTAATATTAACATCATGGAGCTTCACGCAGCTTTCATACATGTTATCGATGAACTTGATTATAATAATTCAAATCTTTTTTAATCATAGTCAAACTGACAGGTTGTGCAGTCTACATGTAGAATAGAAAACTAAATTATACGGTATTGACGTAAATTTTGCCACTTGTCAGTGTCATCTCCATACATTTTAATTTCTACTCTCTCTGTAGACAAGCGCTAACGTGGCTAAAGTCCCTGCGCCGACTGGGTAATCTAAAAGTATCTCTATGTATATTTAAATTTCGATTAAAATAAATGAAATCAATCTTTTGACTTTAAATAAATGTTGAAAAGAGGAAGATTCAAAAATCCAGAGACGGTTAAAATCATTCATGGACCATATACTATATTAGACCATAAGTAAGATCACATTTTGGCTTAAATCATAACCCCCTTAGGTAAAAATCAAACGTAAAATTATAATAAACTTTGCGTGCGTTTTAATTCTGACGAATAAAATATAGGTTTATTTATAGTTTATTTCTCGCTGTTTACCACTTTTGGCCAAAATGTTTAATATTCGTCAAAGAGATGCAGTTTTAATCATTTCCACGTCCAAAACTTCATGAAAGGGATTCACATGTCGCGAGTTCCAAACTAATATGCGTCCACTTTGAAAACACGTGGTTTTGCGAGCACCGCGCGCCGCGCACCGGTGTTGCGGTGACCATTATACGCATCCAAATATTACAAATACCTGAAATAGTTTGCAAGCACTATGTGTATAACATGTAGAAAGTTAGTAGTTATTAAGGTCTATGTAAATATAGATATAAAATACTGTAACAGACAATAATGGAAGAAGAGACTCGGTTCGTATCCAGCGGATCGAGTAAGCTGCCGACCCTCCTGGCACACCTTCTGCATGACCTGAACACTCATCGCAAAGCCACGCTAGTCGGTAAGTATTACACGTGTATCTACGTCGCGGGCTATCGGCCGCCATTTACAAATACAAACATCTATAAATATTTGCATCATTGTACCACAAAGTCACCCCTGCCAGACAGACAGGGGAACTGCATAGGGTCGATCGATTTAATAAGTGCGAGCGAGAGCCAAATAAAGGGGGGCCCAAATCTACCTAGCTCCGAAATGGTACTCTTCAAAATAAAACGGGAAGGTAATCATTTTAGGGTGAGGGATGGTTAGGGTTGTCTGCAATTCATAGATAGTTATTCGTATGTTGTAAATGTTCGGGGTTTTCAAAGCTTTGATGTCGCCCTGTCTAGACGGGTTGATTGAATTTTTGGGGGGTAGCGGGAGTGCAGAGTAGGGTTTTAACTCCATACTTATATGTAACTGCGAACTTTTGATTGGGATGCGCGGGGCCGTAGGTACTTCGATGGCTGTGCGAGCTAAGTTTATGAATTCTCTTTGTTCACTGAATGTTCATCACATTCGTGCACATGTGCGTATGTAAATAGAGAATATCCCTCTGCGAGGGGGTGGGGGAGAGGCTTACCGGGTGCAATCGTTTTGCAAAAGTAAGTTTCCATATTAGCTGGCCGACAGAACGCTGGCGCAAAGCGAATATTCCTACTTGAAAGTTGCAAGTTAATATTTATCTTGTAGTACAAGCTGTTGGTGTTACAAACTAATTAACTCAACATTTCATACGAAGGCTCACTCAGTTTCAACCATCACTAAGAGTTAGTTCAATAAATTCTCTAACAAGAGGAATTGTGTTTGAGTTATTACGCTGAGGAAGAAGCCAGTCGAGGATTTGCCAGTAATTAACTTAGACGTTTTGCTGGCTGCGAGTAGGGACTTTTATATACATACATAGTATACATAGCTAGCGTGTATGTTGCCCAGCACCATCTTAGGCTAAGTTTTGTATGCGAGCCATTGATTACGCATTCACTGCATCTTGTTATCAACGCATTTTACAGTTATACGCATTACCTTTGTACATCTACGCGCCACGCACATTGCTGTTTATATTGCAGACATTCGATCTTTTGTTTTGATTCAGAAAATCAAAATAAAGTATCACTTTATTTATACGAGTGGTTAGCTGCTATAAATAGAAACATATATTCTACACCACAGAGGTCGTTCACTCGTCTAGAGACGCAAAAAATACTTTAATTGTGAGACAAACATGGATTTACTGAATGTAAACATGTTTTGTTTGCATTTGTATTAGATTACATGTTGGTGTAGGTTAGTTATTATATTCACATTCTTACTGAGCTATGCGAAACATCTTTATTGTTACATATGCGATAGTATTTTTTTATTTTCATAACTTTATATTTAAACACGTCCATCATTCCTGGTTTTAATTTTGCGATAAAATTATTAATTCCAAGAATGTATCGGTATATAATGATAGATGAATCGGGTTTTGGTGGCCGTGTCTAATGTAAGCAAAAGCTTTATGTGAATATTTAAAAAATATGGATTATCTTTGGATTGACTCAAATGAAATTCGACAGAGGGCGACACTGTCATGCACTTGAAAGTGCTGGAAGTGCGCAAAGACCCACCACCAGTCTTCGACCACCACGTGCCGGTGCTTGTTGCCTCAGTAGGCCTGCCCAGACCCGGCCGTCCTCGACGCACCACTCCACCTGAGGGTTCAGAACCCATACAAAGCCAGGAACACCTAGATGTCGACGATGAAGAACCGTTTGAGATCGACCTAGAAGCCGAATGGGACTTAACAACTAGGCAGGTTGGTGTTAACAGATTATCTTATTCCGTGTTATGCATACAATGTTCTACAGTTTGTCAGGGATGTACAGGGAGGGACTTGATCTCGCTGTCTCGCGTACGGAACATTTTAACTATATTTGCACCTATTTTCCGCTTTGGTTGCTGCAGTTTCAAAGAGACAAAGCCCTTTGAGTAAATTAAAAAATAAAAATGGTGCATTGTTAATTATCTCGTGCCTTACAGGGTTAGTTACAGTCACTGTATTTAAAAGACACGGGAATTGAAACACAAAGGTCTCAGCCGTCGACTATATTCTTGTTGTCTTTTAAAAAAACATTACAAAGGAGTTTTTAATTAATTATTCTAGAGGTGGACTTGAAAAGAAATTAATTAAAAGTGTCCCAAGGTTTAAAAGTGAGGTCTTTTGATAAAAAGTGTCATCTTTTTTATGGGATAAGCCGGTAAAGTAGCAGACGGATCACCTGATTGTAAGCAATCGGCATCGCCCATAGACACCTGGAACACTAGAGGCAATACAAGTGCGTTACCGGCCCTTTAGGGATTAGGATTGTTGGATTTGGGGATTGATGATTTATTGAGCCGGCCCATTCCTGCCGAAGCATGGCTCTCCCACACTATACTCTCACTTCTGTAAATACTCTACTAGTTGTGATAGTAATTACAGATAATAAATACAGTTTTTATAATGTGTCGTACAACTATACTGGGACTTAAATTTCTGTTTATTTGAACAGGAGCTATTGATTGTTTCAAATGTCAAGGATTGATTTTTAAAGAAGATATAAAAATTATAGATATTCCTCAAGTTCTCTTCGTATTTGAAAATGAAATTTATAATGCATTGAGCATTTGTAACGACTTTATTCCCGATTTGATAAATTCTATTACATCACAATTTCATCTTCACGTTACCACACTGAAACCTTCATTTAAGTTGAATGGAAATGAAAACTGTCGAGTACAAAATAAATATAGGTATTTTTTTCTTTTAGCTTTTACCTTATATCGACGGCTACAACCACGTTTCCAAAATAGCTGCGGACACTAACGTAGAGAAGACCCTGGTCAAGTCCTGTATTCAGAACTTGGTCTACTACGGCGTGGTAAGTACTGACTTTAATTTACTAAATGAATATTCTAGAAGACTCTCGTGTGTGGTAGAGGATAACAGTATGAATAATTTATAATACAAATTATACTATTGCACGGAATTGAGATTCGAGTGAAATCTTAATTATTTATGTATTTATTAAACTACGTGAGTACGGCGTGTCGTCTGATATGATATCAACTTTTCTTTTATAAATAAATAACATAACCTGATCCTGTCTGTTATTCCACGATGCAACGATGTTAAATAAGAAGATATAAAGCTACAACTGATTATGATCCTTAAAAACCTGCCATATTTTCCCATTCCTTCCTTCTCATGTAGTAGATACATAAGTACTATAATTGTTTGGCTAGGTTACTCTGCTTCCCGTGATGAAGTTCAGCAACATGTACCGGGCTACTCCCAACCTCAGCCGACTGTTCAGCGACCCTGAACTGCAGAAATCTTGCTTAGCCTTCATCAGTAAAGGGAACGACTCTAAAGAAAAGGTAATCTATACTTTTATAATTTATTATCTGTACTAATTAATGTACGTATAAAGCTGACGAGTGTGTTTGTTGTGTGGATCGCTTGATCTCCGGAGCTACTGATACGAATTCTACGACCAATAGGAGCCCAGCATTAGGTGACATTGCGCAGGATTGGTTACTTATTACAGAATACATAATAAGTAATGTTCTGTGACCTGGAAACGGTTTTAATGGACATATATGGTATGGTCATCCAGATTAAGAGTGAGTACCATTATCAGATCGACTTGACGTCACGAAACAAACAAGCAGGGCAAGCTAAATAGAACCGTATAATAAAGATATGATTACCAAATAGTAATTTCAGATGTTATGATATTCTGTGAAACAACCATATAAGTTTCGAAAAAACAAATGACATGGAGTCTTTCACTTCATACAACGATAGTCAACTGTCGCGTCACACCAGCATTAATTGAAGTTCTCATTTCAAATGATTGTACCGATCGGATTATAATAGTGACGCGACAGAATGCACCTGTTTACGCACACTAAGGTGCAGTATGTTATAATAATATTAAATAAAATCGATAGTGATGCTATTTTCATCGTGAAAGTTAGTGAGATCGAATGAAGGAATTGGTGCGAGGAGTTATTGTCTATGACATTTTGTCGTGGTCATGGACGAGTAGGGTTACTAGGTTACAGAGCGAGTGAGGATTTTAAATATGGAAGGATGGACGATATACGGATAAACTGTACGCAATGATATGAAAGAAAACTGACTTAGGTGGTGTGACTTCTAAGGCGAATCTTATAAAATTGACTTAAAGAGGATTCGACTGCTTCGGTTGCCGTGTGTTCACAAGTGCGACTGCCGCACAAGTGGTCCCGGGTTCGATTCCCGGGTCGGGCAAAGTATTACTTGGTTTGAAAAACAATCTCAGTAGTAGCAAGGAGTTTGAAATTGTGCCCGGTAGGTATATGGCAATGGGGTCACCCTCTATTACATGGGACTTGTAACATAAATAGTGAAAAGTGGGTGTTACATTGTACAGTGGCATTAAGTGCCGTAATGTGCACCTCTGACTACCACTTTCGGGATAAAAGGCGTGATGTTATGTTATCTGACAGAAGAGAAGAAGACATTGCAACCCGAAATTAGGTACTTCCAATACAGGGGAGAAGGTTATCGATATTTTTTTAAATGTAATTGTTTGTTGTCAGCCCACAATATCGGACGTGTTGGAGATCCTGTGCGCGCTGCAACAGGGCACCACCTTGCGCACAGTATGTGAAAGGCTCACCACCTCGCCCGGTCCCACGTTCGATATACGACGACTCGTGGTCTATGCGCAACTCCATGGCCTCATCAAATGCCTTAAAAAGTAATATTTTTCTACCAATCCTAAAATAATTTCAGGAAAAAACCACATTTTACACTGGTGCGGAGTTTATGGTGCACCATAAACTCTACTCTAAGAGCTTCTACTCTGTCTTGCTGGGATTAAATGGCATTATACTATATTTAAACTGCAAGGAGATTGCAGTTGCTTTTCGCACCCTATTTGTGTGATACAGATGAAAATTCTTCTTGATTCTTTAATTATCATTTCCACGTTCATTGTTTACTTATAATGTAATTCTATATCTTTTATCTAATTTATAACTAAACTCTTCAGGTACCCGGTATTTCTACGCAATCCACCGCGCCCAAACGGGTTCAACAACCGCGTGGATCCTATCCTCGGCATCCGACGACTTTTCACCGGCCGTCATTGTGCTGACGAGATCTGCTGCATCGCGCGCATAGACCTACCTACCCTAGACCAGATCATAGAAGACGATCCTAACGTAACTATCATCTGGAGATAGAAATAATCCTGGATTGACTCGGTTAGGTGTCGGTTCGGTTTTAAATGGTCGCGGATTTGTTAATCACTGTAAGTGTAGTGGCTGACTTCTATATGGGAGCTCAACCAATTTTCTTTTACCCTCGAAATTGTATTTAAAGGTTTTTGTTGTACGCGGCGTATAGCGGGGTAACGCAAGGCCTGACACTTTTTCTGCAGACAAAAATTTTATTAGCTCTAGATTCAATCATACAAAATTTCAAATGTATTCGATTTGCCTATAAATTATCTTCCAAATTCCACTATCTGTCACACAATTGACATAATACAGCCTTTTCATTACCTACTTATTTACAAAATGAAATATACTTTGGTGAAACTAAATTAAATACAGTTGCTAACTCGATCATTTGACCTAAGACCATGATTCGGGCATAGCATGTAACATCTTGTCTATAGATCCCTGAAGGGATCGACAGAGGAGTGCATTATAAATGTAATACTCACTTTCTCTCGTTATGTCATGATTATCAGGCTTACAGGAACAAAACCTACAACACAGTGTCTACAGCCTTGCATCGATCCTACCACGTGTCGTGTGCTTAATAAAGAATCGACGTCATTTCTTATTATTTTGAACTCAATTTATTTTACTGTCACAAAAGTCTGTTCCTAGTCTTACAGTTAACTAATAACTCCGCGTTGCTGAGCTAACTATAAGTCGAGAGCTATGCGAACACCTAATAGGTTACAAACTCGATGCCAGCAAATAAAATCGATGCCATACTCCACTGCATTTTGGCAGACAAAGTGTACCATATATGATCGACGTAAGTGTTGGAGATATACAGTGGAGCATGGAATCGATTTTAACTAACCTCTTCTGAATTACACCTAACCTTTAGGGCGATCTTACACCTGTAAGTTTAACTCACTTGAGGTACACTTACAGGTGTAACGGCTCGCATAAGTTAGCGTAGTGTAGCGTAGAACACAGAGTTTTATTCCTGTTAAAGCTAGACTGCAAAGTCTGCGTAGATTAATCAACACGATGCAAAAGGTGGGTTACGTCACTAATTAGCTGTATCGTTTGGCATTCACGTGCTTTCCAAAATGTCGCTTACTTGTGACCTCTGTTAAACTGTATTATATACGACTATAGCTGCTAACTATCGGCTCTGTGATCGGCTCTGCGATGTCTGAAACGTGGTTGTAGCGACATCTATTGACAATATCTTAAGTTCGTTTTTTTAATGCCAGAGACTAATTTGACACTTGCGAATGTCAAATGGAAATAATAATAATTGTGTGAAGTGATCCATAAGACACAGGTTTGGTAATCATGGCGTTTATGTTGTATTTATTTAATTACACGAACACAACACGACTAGTAGCTTGCTCTTCTTCGCTCCCTTGTATTAAAACCTTTAGTCCACTTATCATTATATTCACACATCCCTCCAACAAATATCAAAAAATTCAACAAATACAAATTTTACGTTATGTGCTTCCACATGTCATGAACTTTACAATTGCATTTAAAAAAGGGCTTCCCTATATTTTTCAGATTAACTTTATAAAATTTAACAACAATTGGACTGTTATTTTAGTCTCTGTAATTAAAATCGGACTGTACGACGTCACTTGGACAAATAAAAAGGACTGTTTAGCACCTGGTCCTAGCCTAACTCCGGCCATGGCGAACACCTAGCTAGGCCGGAGTTACGCCGTGCTGTCGTACCGCCGCAACGCACGACGTTGAGCCTATCCCACGACCGGATGGGGGATGCTCTATAAGTCGGCAGCCGCCACAAGTTTCGCCATTAACCACATGTTCGTTAAGTACACCTTATTATCGTGCTGTTATCGTGTTTATTGAAATTATATCATCACAAGTTATGTCTTTATATTATATTTTGTCTGCAATAGGACCACTGCCAATAGAGGCATTTATGCTTTTGAAACAAGTAAAGAGTTGCTAGCGCTGTAACTCATTCTAGAATATAGTTGTGTATAGAGCTGGCAACTTTATACTCCGTGTCGAACTTTTATTTCATTGTCTTCGTTGAGTATTTATTGTTTTAGGGTGTAATTTAAGCTAGGTCGGCTTGCATGTAGGGTGTGACGAATATGTGAACTAGATGAATATATCAATGTTGCCAATTCAGAGATTTATGCAGATCATATATTTCGTATAAGTAGAGTATATTAGATTAACGGTTGTTCATCCACAAATGTGTAAGGTCTGTCTTTATTGGCTGATGATCTCCACAGTCATCAATAACTAAAGTGGAATCATTGAGTGTAATCTTTTTTTGAACTAGCGTGGTTACACAATCTTCGAAAATATAAATTCAATATTAAAATACCATCAGCAACAAGTTGAATCAAATCATTAACAACTCCACACCTTGCATCCGACCACTATCTGACACGGATGACATTAACAATCCACCAAGCAGATTGTCCCATGCTAGAACCAAAATTATAAAAAACTTTATATTTCATATAACCTGGACTAGGGGACCAACAAGTTTATTCTTTGGTTTATCGAGTTTTACATTACACTTATCAACATCATCGTCAGCCCGTTCATCAACTGCTGGACATAGGCTCTCCAAATACCGCTCAGCTTTCTTAATCTTGTCCAACCATATCCAGCCTTTCCACCAAAGGGGGACCTTACATATTTGTACAATACAGAGGTTTATCGCGTAGGTTAGATAGAACGTAAGCGTTGACTAATATTTACAAAAAGAGTCTAATTTAGTAATAATTCATACGTAGTATTATAATTTTGTAGTATTACTATTTTATTTTATAGGTTATCATATCCGTACTTATGCTTTCATGTTTCATTATAAAACTTTTGTCTTTTCAATAGGAAATCAGTTTCATAGAAATTCAATAGAAACAGGAATCGAAATAGAAAATATACAATTTTTGCAATATCTGACACTAAAACAATGAAATAGTCTAAAACTGTATACATAATAGCATCAGTTCGGGTATTTAATTATTAGTATATATCTATATAATAATATGCACATTACCATCGCTTTTAAGGACCCCATTTTCTTTCTAAAAACTACCTAGGTTCTGTCTATAAATCTAAAAAGTTATACAATCTTATTTTGAGCTACAGTTATTCACTTTCAGTATGACAAGTTAATGTTTTAATGTTTTAATTTACAAAATTTTAGCTACGGAATTGGCTTCAAGTTGTCCCCAGCACTTAGCACTAGGAGTAGAGTAGGATATGTACATAAGTAGTTTGAACTGCGGTCAAATAAAGTGAAATCTATCATAAACATAGTGGGTGAGTCCCGATATTGAAGGTATAGTAGATAATTTAGTCCTGTATATAATGTAGTTTCTAGTTTTACGATCTATAAGCGTTATTTGTAAAGTATAGCTTTTGAACACGACGTTTCTTTATAAGCAGACCTAACAGAATATCTAAGAAACGAACGGAAAACAACAGATATAGACAATTTCATAGAATCATTCTATCAAAGAAGTAAATAATAATAATAATAATTAGTTACCGGCGCGTGCGCACTCTACCGGCGCAATCCTCTTTTTGTAACGTCTGCTGTTTAAAGCGTATTCCAAATTCACCCAATTGCATAGATGGTTCTGCCGTCCTTGACGTGTCTTATAATTTCCATCAAGACGTCCGTGGTCCTGCACTTAAAAAACGTCGTGGGCAAAGACTTAAGTTTTACTTAAAACACCTTAACATCAAAACAGTATCAACAATTTCAAACATTTTGTTCTATGTGCTTGTAAATCTCGAATGACAGAAATGTATAACCGATCTCAATACAAAATCTTCATATCAACGTTTTTTGACAAATTCTAATATTTCTGTCAAAAATCCAGATCGATCCGCAGATTTAGGACTTACATTTACTGATAATTTGTAACTGGAAAAATATGTTTTGATTATGCCATCTTAATGTTGATTTCCTTATAATACTTGTGCTCTACGAATAACCTTGTAGCTGTAGAAGGTATTAGAGTAAAAGAGAGACGTCACCAAGTCAATAGTCCACTCAGCCAAAGACGAACAAATCTACACCTTAAATGTCGTCCAATTTCGATTTCGTTACACATAAGGGCGGGACCAAAAACAAATAAAAAATAAAACAAACAAAATACCCCCCTTATTTGGAATGCGATTGAATAAGTATCTCGTTTACAATAACACTATTTAGTATAATTATTCGACTAGGTAAGATCATCACGGCGCGGTTTTTGAATCAGGCAATCGGACGATGTCGCGACACCGACGTGGTCTGATTCAAAACTCGCGTCCTCATTAAACGAATAAGTTTAATTGTAAATTTTTAAAAAGCGCGCCTAACAGCTTATGAAATAGAATTAACCTGATGGTTTGTCCTGTTTTTAACTGTAAATTCACTTTGAGAAAACGAATGGACGAATACATATGTAAATATCTATGCGTTCAAGTATACGTCACATCTATGCATGCAAGCAAGTCTATGGCACATACAGTCCAACTTTGTAACATCAGAAATAACTGATAGCGGCTATATAATACTTAGGTACTGCTACTAGTCAACGCCTAAGGCCGATTGCCCACGTAACCGCAAGGCATACGCACGCTCTCGTCAATTGACGAATGAACGACGAATGCTTGTATCTTGCTTAGAAACCATCAAAAGTCTGCCCACGTTGCGGCAACCGCGCGTCATGCGTACCTAATAACAAATATGCACACTTTACCTAGACAGTCCATGGGGAATGGCTCTAACAATTACTCTATTTGCTAATAAAAAAGTACTCAAAAATTTTCAGTGGTAATTAACCAGAAAATCTTACGTAAAATTAATCTTCATTGACTTAAAATCTTAATAATTTCGGCAACTTTAGCTATATTTATTGTTCAATCGATCTTATAGTACAGGTACAGAGCATTTACTTATATTCCTGTGAAATATATCCGACATCAGATACCTCGATACAGCTTACAAATTACTTCCTTTGGTATCATCT